TACCCTTCTACACCTAATAATACCCTCTCAAGGTTCAAGGTTCAAGGTTCAAGGTTCTTTATTGTCAATCTGACATAGCTACAGAGTAATTATGCAGTTGAAAATCTTATGTCACAGGCTTCTCCAACAATGCAACATAATAACATAACATAATAACAATAAGAGCAAGAGCAATACAAAAATAGTAATAGTTATAAAATGAAATAAAGTTATGATGTGGAATAGTGCAGTATGAGTCTATATACAAGTTATTGGAATGATATATATATATTAGGTATTAGATACATACTACTGAGTAGCAGTTGATGTTTGATGTTGTTTCAACAGTTCAATTGTTTAACAGTCTCACTGCCCGCGGGAAGAAACTGTCTCCGAATCTTCTTGTCCTTGCCCGGATGCTGCGGTAACGTCTGCCAGACGGCAACAGAAAGAACAGTTTGTGGCTGGGGTGATGGGGGTCTTTGATAATCCGTAGTGATTTCTTCCTGAGCCGCTGGGAGTAAAGGTCCTCCATGGATGGCAGCTCCGTCCTGGTGATGTTCTGTGCAGTTTTCACCACCCTCTGTAAAGCCTTACGATCGAGGTCGGTGCAGCTGCCGTACCAGGCCGTCATGCTGCCAGTGAGGATACTCTCTATCGTGCACCTGTAGAAGTTGCAGAGTATCCTGGAATCCATTTTGAACCTCCTCAGCCTGCGGAGGAAGAAGAGCCGCTGTCGAGCTTTCTTGGTGATGGTGGTGGTGTGAAGAGACCATGTCAGGTCCTCAGTGATGTGGACCCCAAGGAACCTGAAGCTTTTGACTCTCTCCACCGTAGTCCCATTGATGGCGATGGGGGCGTGTCCCTCTCCCTGCTGCTTCCTGTAATCCACAATCAGCTCCTTTGTTTTGCTGATGTTGAGATGGAGGTTGTTCTCCTGGCACCAAGATGTCAGGTTTTCGACCTCCTCTCTGTATGCCGTCTCGTCATCGTCTGTGATCTGGCCGATGACGGTCGTGTCATCAGCAAACTTCACGATGGTGTTGGAGCTGTGTGTGGCCACGCAGTCGTGGGTGAACAGGGAGTAGAGGAGAGGGCTGAGCACGCAGCCTTGAGGGGCACCGGTGTTAAGAATCAGGGTGGAGGATGTGATGTTTCCCACCCGCACTGCCTGGGGTCTGCCCGTCAGGAAGTTCAGGATCCAGTCGCAGAGGGCGCTGTTGAGCCCGAGGTCTCTGAGCTTGATGGCCAGCTTGGAGGGCACAATGGTGTTGAATGCTGAACTGTAGTCAATGAACAGCATTCTCACATATGTGTTCCTGTTCTTCGGGTCCAGGTGTGAGAGGGCAGTGTGGAGGGTGAGGGCTATGGCGTCGTCTGTGGACCTGTTTGCTCTGTAGGCAAACTGCAGGGGGTCCAGAGATTCAGGGAGGGAGGAGGTGATGAATAATTTGACTAACCGCTCAAAGCACTTCATTATGATGGAGGTGAGTGCTACTGGGCGGTAGTCGTTGGGGCAGGTGATGATTGTCTTTTTGGGGACAGGAATGATGGTGGAGTGTTTAAGACATGTGGGGACTACAGACTGCAGCAGGGACCTGTTGAAGATGTCTGTGAACACCTCTGCCAGCTGAACTGCACACACCCTGAGAACACGGCCAGGGATGCCATCAGGTCCAGGAGCCTTGTGTGGGTTAACCCTTTTAAAGGATTTACACACATCTGCCCTATTTAAAACAAAAGGGCAGTGTAGCTCCTGGTCCCTCTGTACCTCCACAGCCTGGCTGCTCTCAAAGCGTGCAAAAAAACTATTTAGCTCATCTGGGAGAGATGCGCACGCAGACACTCCCGCAGCACCCCCCGCTGCTCCTTTGTAGTCAGTCATTGTCCTTAGTCCCGCCCACATATTCCTAGTGTTACAGCCTTTGAAGTCAGATTCCACCTTCTCTTTGTACTGTCTCTTTGCATTTTTTATTGCTCTCCGGAGATCATACCTAGACTTCCTGTACTCCTCCAAATCTCCCGCTGTGTGCGCGAGAGTGCGCGCTTTCAGTTTGCCGCGCACCTCACCGTTTACCCAGGGCTTTGATTTGGGAATGTCCGTACAGAAACCTTCGGTACCACGTCATCGATGCATTTCCCAATGTAGCAGATGACAGTGTCCGTGTGTGTGTTGATGTTATTGTCCTCAAACACACTCCAATCCGTAGATGCAAAGCAATCCTGCAGTGCTGAATCTGACTCCTCGCTCCATCGCTGTACTGTCCTTGTTATCGGTCTGTCCCTTTTAAGTTTCTGCTTGTAAGCAGGCAACAACAGTAGTGAGATATGGTCTGATTTGCCGAAGGGAGGGCGAGGGAGAGCCTTATATCCATTCCGGAAAGGGGAATAAACATGGTCCAGTATGTTTCCCCCGCGCGTCGGGAAGTTGATGTGTTGGTAATATTTTGGCAAAACCTTCTTCATGTTGGCGGTGTTGAAATCTCCGGCCACAACGAACGCCGCATCTGGCCGTGAAGTCTCGGTTTTATCAATAAACCCAAACAGCTGATCGAGTGCCGTGTTGTTGTCGGCGAGTGGCTGCGGCGGGATATACACTGCTGTTATCACAACAGATGTGAATTCCCTCGGCAGATGGAAGGCCCCGACATGAGATCATGAGGTGCTCTAGCTGTGCGGAACAGTCCGATGAAATAATCTTCACATCTGAGCACCAGTTGTTGTTAGTCATTACACACACACCGCCTCCCTTACTTTTCCTCGAGTTTGCAGTCCGGTCCTGACGAAAAATAGAGAATCCGTCAGGGACAATAGCGGAGTCCGGGATAGCGGGGTTGAGCCAA